AGCAGCAGCAGCAGCAGCATTTGTGGAAATAATGGTCGTCGTTGTATAAGCACTGGATAGCTGCCAATGCTCGGCATCAAGCTGCGAGAAAGTGCCAGAAAACTGATCAAAGCTGACCAGAGCTGAAACGGATCGTGGAAGACACCGGCGCACAAGCGGGACAACAGCCTTGATCACAGCACATCAAAGACTCACGCGCGTGAGCCCAGTATCAAGATGTTGGAACAGCAGGTCAAAGTCATCATCGATGCACCCCTTTGACACAACCAGAGCTTTCTTGATCTGTGCCCGAAGGACCATGTCAATCTTATCGAAGCTTCCCATCTCCTGAAGGGCGAGGGGTTTACAATCGCCTTTTGTGCTTCGGGTACTTGGCTCAGTAAGTGTTGACATCAAGTAAGGTCCTGTATTGCATCTCAACTACTAAAGCCATGCAGATGCGTGTCTGTGAATACGCACACCGTACACGTAAGTATACACTTGCAGAAGCATAAGCCACTGCTGCTATCGTGAGAAAGCCAGGCCTTGACATACACCGGGCAATATTTAGGCTCTTTATGCGGAATTACGACTGAAATTGCAAGCTTTCCATCTCCTGAATCACCAGCGACTTGATGGTGTCCCGATCTTGACTGCACGTAGCATCGGCATCTGCCAAGGACAGGTGCACCAGGCGCTTGCCGATGTTGAGGGCAACCTTGTGGATCAGGTGGGCTGGAACAAGGAAAGTTCGAGATCAATGTGCCCACTTTAAGCCTTGCCTATGCGACTGTAAGACGTTGCACATTAAAAAACGCTGCGGCAGGCACACCTCGGTTGTTGCACGGCCGAAGTTGACAACACCCGTGTTGGTGCAGAATTGAAGGCCCACGAAGTCGGTGCGCTTCTTCTCCAGATTCATTGTCTGGAGCACCTCGAAGAGGCACCAAGATCTGGTCCTGCAGCTCAATTGAACAAACATGTTGTGATGCTCATATGTGCTTGTGCGTCCAGTGCCCCAGCAGTCGATGTCAATAAGCGCACCCAACTTACGACCTCAGCAACGGCACGACTGCAGCCCAGGCTCAGAGGCAAGGCATGCTCATCCAAGATCATGCAAGTACCCTGAACGGAGCTGCTGTGTAGGGCCAAGTAGAAGGAGGATTCGTAGTGACTCTTGCCTAGCTCCTCATCGATGCAGTACTGGTTGTTACTGAAAGCACAGATCCAGTAAGACACAGATTCCCACGAAGTTCCGGCATGGTCGGAAACTACAACTGCCTCAGCATGTCGCCTGAGAGCTTCGCAGGTGTAGGTGAATCTCGTTCCCCAAAAGTGAGAGACAAACCAGCTAACTTGACAGGGCCCAAGAACTTCTGCCAAGGACAGCTTCAGCTCCGAGGTCAATGGGCGAACAATGTTCGAGTCAATGTAATACAAGTTTCGATCTCTGATGTAGTGCTGAAACTCGTTCATAAAGTCAAAGATCTGGAAAGCTGTCAGAGCACGCTGAGGCCCCTTGTTGCATGGTGCCGGGACGGGGTTGCGCTCCCGCAGCTTCTCCTGAAATCGCACCAGGGCGTACCAGATCGACGAGTCCTTCGGGATAAGAAAGTGCAAGAGTCTTGAGATCACAAAGCCCGCCAGGCACCCTCCCAGTGCCGCAGCAGCACCAAAGGAATGGCTGTACGGAATTTCATTTTCCTCACCTTGCACGCAATGCCAAGGGTTCTCCCTGATTTTACTCTCTTGCACATGTGCTGCCCTCAGCTTACGCTGAGATCTCGTGGAAGTTCTGGAGACATGTTGGGCCAATGTTGGGTCCAAGGCACTGACGAAGACCAGCAATGGTGGTGTGCATAAGATCAGCATCGGGGCGGCCAAGGCAACGGGAACACGAGGAATCACGTCACTGTGGAGGGTGGAACGCAAGCATGACAGCACAAAGAAACCGTGGCTGGTGTCTGCACCCTGCACCTGGGAGAAGCACTTGCGGGACCAACAGTCAACAGAGTCAAGGGAAACTCCAAAGCCCGGAATCGTTAAACACTACTACTACTGCTACTATAAAGGCCCAAGCTTTCAAGTTCAGCATCACCTGCAGCACCCCACGTCAGGCTTACATGTCGTGCGGAACATGGAGTGCCGTTCATGAAGCTCCATTCCATTTCGGAACAGCAACTGCACGTACTTGTTCCTAGTTGCTTTGATCTGTGATATCTCTTCCCACAACCTGAGGACTTAGTTCTCAAAAGTAGAATGCAAAGATATTTCGCAAACAGACTTGCTTGGAGGGACTGGTCTGCCCCTCGCATCCAAAAGCTGCAGGGCGCGGGTTGAGAGTGCCCGTGCCCGATAAAGGCAGGCCTGCGCAAGTGGACGCTCGGGATCTCTCCTCCTTGCTCTTCTGTGCTGCAGAGCAGACATGAACATAGCAATATTGTGGAGACGACAGCGACAAACATAACACTAGCAGACTACTGTAAGTAATTGTATGTAGGTATGTATGCAGGAAGGCAAGTCCGTGTCTGTAAAACTTGCGTATAGTTTTCAAACATAGTATGGAAGAACCTCTCTCCATGTGTCGTGTAGTCTTTGGCGATGCTCCGCTTTTGTCTCAGGCTGCCCTCCAACAAACATTGTGAGTTCCTACAAAGAGGACAAGCTCTCAATGTTGAGAAGAAAACGAGAGGGCGCTCTTCAGCCACCTCTGCATAAGCAGGGTCCATGCAAACAGAATCGTAAGAACGTAACTCGACAAGTTAAAACCTCCCAGAACGTTATCAATCATGAGAGCTTTGTCGTTTCTGGATTAGAGATGAGACGGTTCTCGCGGATTTTAGCCGAAACTTTTCAAGTAGCAATGGACAGCAGTCACGGAACATGTGCAATTTCAACACGCTTTACAGAAGAAAGTTCCTTCTGAAAGAGCAGTCAAGAAGATAAGAACTCAACAATCACATATGGTGGTTAACCAGGCCTCTCGCATCTGGCATGCAAATAATGAAGCACACAACCCTTTGCCTGTTGCAGTGTTTATTGCGATTTGATTTAACTATGTTGTGCTATGCGGCTAGGTCACTGAATCGTTGCTGTCAAGGCCAACAGCATATGACTGCACGCATTCTTCCTCTGCGAGCTTGGGGGCGCTCCTTGCACGACTAAACGTGAAATTCGGTGAAACGGTGACACAACTACGCAGTGGGAAACCCAATCCTACCGGCGTAGCGCACAAATCCACTCCCCCAAATCCAAGAGGACACCGGTTCTAGGCACCGCAATGCAGGCGATGCGACCTCACGAAACACCGGGGGAGAGCGCAGAAAACAACTAGGTGCCCCACAGGCATGCTCCAGTGCTCCAGCTATTGGCACTGAGGGCGAACAGCCTTGGGGGTACGCGGTGGCAGGAAGGGTAGACGAACTCAGGGAGCGGCGGACCTGTGCGGATGCTGCTGCCGGATACCACAAAGCTGCAACGGCATCCAGTCGGGGGCTCAAGCTCAGCACAGGCAACCGGGGCAGAAGCCCCCCCCGCGCAGTCCGAAAATCATCACACCAGAGCTCAGGGTCTAACTAACAGGAGCTCGGTATCGGATACAAGAGTGATACAAGCCATTGGGCAAGCGCATCAGCATGAGGGTGACGAGCTCAAGCATGCAAGGTGCTTTTAAAATCTTTTCAAGACCCCCGCAACGGTTCAACGAAATCGAGAACCGCGGCCCAGACGGCGACAGGACCTGAGTTGCGCCACAATTTACTCGCTGGTACAGCAGCCAAACCCTTTGACTTTGTTGCAGGTCGAGCGGCTTCGCTACTCCAAGCGGCCCTGACGTGCTCGTTCCTTGATAGCATGCAGGATGCATGGCGGCGGGCACACACCTGGCTCCGCAACACCGCGCCGCTGGTTGCCAGATGCGAGATAGGCCTGGGTACTTCCGGGGCCTGATCAAGCGCGCGTCAAGCAGCTTGAGGGGTCCGTGTATGTCCGTGTTGCGTGTTATGCTTCACTGCAGGCCCTGCGAGGAGCACTTTGTCTGGTTGGCGGGAGCAAGGACGCTCCTAGACGCCATGACGCAAGCCGGCCAGGTGTCTATTCCGAGGTCTGCTTGCTGCGTAAGGTTGCCTTCCCCAATCGAGCGCCGTGAGCCGTGCACGTTGCCAAGAAGCATGGGTACCGCGCTCCAGCCACCCTTTTCGCGCGCGAGCAGACCCAACCACTTTGCGAGGGGTGTGGCAAGCTCTACGGCTACGTCGTTATCTTCTTAACTCGGGTTCCTGCCGTACTCACTGCAAGGGGGGGGGTTCGACGCCGCGGTTGACTTGCCAGAGGCCATGCGCCCCCAGCGACCACCCATGCAAGTTGCAGGCCTGATTTCGGAAGTTCAAGCATCAGCCGAGTGGATCATCGTGTGGACACAGAGGCAGTGTCGGTACATGGAAAGAACGGCTCGTGCAACACGCAAGCGACCCCAAGCCCCACAGCCAAAGGTAAGACACGAGAGGACATGCGAGCCAAGGAGTAGGCCTTTGCGCGCAACACTGAGGCGCTTCGAGCGGAAAAGCTTAGTGCGGCCTTGACGGAAAGAAACCCAAGCAGCGGCAATCCTGTGCCAGATTTCGGGAAACAGGGAGTTGTCGGAAGTGACCTTTGACCTAGCACCCCTTTGCGTTCCGTCCGGACTGGGATACATGGGTTCCCAGAAAAGAAGGGCTCTAACAGCACGAGCGCCCCGGCCCCGCACACAAACAACCGCAGCTGTCTTGCACATTCTTGCACTCACCGAAAGAGAAGCCATAGCCAAAGCTGCAGAACGCCTCTGTGAGAATGGACGCTTCCGTTCCCAAGTGTTGCAACATGGGCCACCCGTCCTGCATCATCGAATGCAAGAAAGGATGCAAGGTCGTCGGCCCAGACGACTTCGCTCAGGGATTCATAAGCGCCTCTAGCTTCACCGACATAGGACGCGAAAAAGGCACGGCGCCCGTCCCACCAAATGGGGATAGCGGCATAATTAGCTGCCTGGCGTTTCGGACTTGAGGGCATCTCGTTCGGCGAGGATGCCAGGCACGGCAACCCCGAAGAACAAATCGGCCCAACTGGAGCCAGGTCTGGACTCCCTCGCTGTAAGAGCTGTTGTAAGCATAGCATCATCCAGGTTCGATTGTTGAAATCATGAGTCAAGCCAACGGGACGCGTGGCCAGCGGCGAGAGGCAAGGTAAACAGCCTTGGGAACTGCATTTGAGGGTGGGATATTCCTCAACCCTCGGCAGAGGTTCGGCTAGGTTGCGCCAGCTGGCGCGCGACAGCCTCCGGGCCAGTCCTCATCAGGAGGAGCTGAGGCCGCCCCCGCGCGGTCAATGAACCCACCGCGCTGTAGCATGCAGTCGCAACGTCAGGGTATAAGATCACAGTGGACAGTCCCGAGCCCTCCATCGACCGAATGCGCGGCTGGTGTGCGAGCCGAAAAGCACGGTAGTGCACTTCTTACCACCAATCTGGACTGGCAGAGAGTGTTAATCAAAGAACCGATACAAAGCGGGCCGGAAGCCGCGGTGAAATGTTTTGGCAATGCATGAAGGCAGCATGATCGCCCTGTAACAGGAACAAACGGATTTGCTGCCCCGCCGCTTGTACGGCCATGTAAGAATACCGGACTTAAACCCAAGGGGCTCTTGACAGAAGAGGCCTATTCTCAACATGAGCGGCAGCAGGACCTGCTGCCCTGCAGCTGCTCGGGATTCCTCTTGGTGCTGCGTTGCCCCTCTGTTTCAGAGTATTGTTCAAACTCGCCTGAAGGATCTGGGCACAGGCCATGGTTCCCACGCCGTGATCTGGCATGCCACGTACCACACCGGTATTCCCAAGACTGCTGCTTTTGTCCTTGCCATTTCTTGCCCATGGAGGATTGCTGCCAAACAGCGTGGCCGTGGTGGCTGCCAAGTAACCTCAGGTCCTTCCGTGCACCGGGACCCCAAGAATCGGGAACTCGGCGGCACCTTGCTGGGGCATGCAACGATCTCCTCCAGCCTACGGGCTTTGCTGTGGAGTGTTCTGATGCGTTCTGAGCCCTACTGCATGCATATACATACATACATACATACAACCGGCATGTGTATACAAACGTACACGCCATGGACATACATGTCTACATACACACACGCACACTGTAGCACTCGCACTCGACGAGGTCGGGCGACACATCAATAGCACTCGGCCTTATTGTGAGCAACATCATAGGCAACACTCACCAAACTTGAAGACATGAACCCGGCAGTGCCTGCCTGTAGGAATAACGCCGACAGATTCACGCATCGGAAGAAATACAAGTAAAAGCAATAAGAAGACTGAAAGGCCTCTGTGGACGAGTCGAGCATGTGATGGCCTGAGAAGGGTCGGGTCTCGGATTCGGTTTCAGAGTTGTAGAGTTGAGACTTAGGCTTGCCTTTTCAGCGAGCACTCTACAGTCTACTTCCAGCCTGAACTTAACTTATGTAATTCTTAGAGCACTCGAATGATGCTTTAGAAACCTTTCTGAACTTGACTCTCCCTGAAGCCAGCACCAAGACCTCCCTCAAACCTATTGTCCAAAAGTGGCTACTGGAGGAGTTTTTAGCAACTTTGTCGTTTCAGGCCTGTCTGGTAGAAATGGATTGGGAAGGTGCCGAAGCGGTTCGACAAACGGTGTGCAGTCGTCGTTGTAACGATCGCAGACCACTCGCCGCTCGTGGAAGGGCAGGACGAAATGTCCTCATCAGGAGGTCTGCAAAGGGATTTTTCTTCGCTCGCAGGAGCAATGAATCTCTACAACTGACGCAAGCCACGCTCTCATCTGGTCATCGAGATCCTCAATGTGAACTTTCCGCCCGACCAGACTGCAGCGTCGGCCGCCGGGCCCGCGTGCCATGATCCCCAGCTCGTACCACAGCACCATCCAACCACAAAGGTAACAGATCCTAGGATACGACAGGCTTTGGCAGGTCTTGGTGCAGCGCTTGTTGCCAAGGAAGCACGTAGGAAACTGTGTCTCAGTCAAAAACAAGCAGCACTGTTGCCATGACCAGGGCAAAATTCGTCGCGTCGTTGAAAATGCACTCTTCTCGCAACCTGCTGGGACTCCCTCGCATGCATCTCAAACCCTCAAAGTCTGTCCTACAACATGCTCGGTGACCCGTGGGCGTTTCAGCACAGTCGTTACGAGGGCATGACCGGCTTGACTTAGGCCTAGACGAGTCATGGAGTTTAGACTTGATCTGGTACCTGCTTGGCCGCTGCCAGAACCAGGGACAGCCACGGCACGGCTCGTAGTTCTTGCCGTGCTGTCCTGAAGACTGAAGACTGAGCCCTTTTTCGATCAGAGCTTCACATTAGAATGAACAAAATCTGTGCAAATTGGAGCGGTCTAAAGCATGTACTCAAATCTTCCCTAGGTTCCAGAAGGACAGATCACGGTAACATCTGCAACGAATGTGAGAAACTCCTGGGCTGCCGTGCAGGCAGAAGGTGGCACGCTCTGAAACTGCGGCTGGCACCAACAAAGCTTGTAGCGACCAGCAGGCGTTGTGGCTTCAGAAATGAGCCCGAATCTGTATGACAGATCGGCTCCGGAAGCAACTTCCGCCACCGCATCCTTCATCACAACGTCAGGTTCACGACCGCAGTCGTGCTGCAGGCGCATCATACTCTGTGTCGTAATCCACACCCCCGATGTCGCAAAAGTAAATGGCTCGCCAATGGTCGCAATCCTCTCATTCTGCGTGGACATAGATGTTTCTAGCTGTAGAGTTGCATACACATCTTTGCCCGTGGGAAGAGGCAAAAGGAACGGGGGTCGAGGGACGAACAACAAAAGCTACTGGCCTGCTCGTCGCGTGCTTCGTGGGCCCCCGCAAGGTGAGCATCCCTGCGGAAGCGTTGAAATCAGAGAGAGACTCGCAGGCGCCGACTGTGTTGTTTTCGCACCAACACAAACGATACCTCGGTGTCCATTATCGGGTGTAGCAGTCAGCATACTGTTGGAGCAAGTCCTTTCGCAGATTCCGGAAACAGTGAGGACATTCCCTTGCCTAGATGCACTCCCGGGTTCTGCTCACTGATCCACTGCCGAACAGCTTCCATATCCTCGCCGTGAACGTATGGATTGCTCCAATTTCTGTTCCAGCTGAACCGGAAGTTGTCGGCAAAGGCCGTGGACGTCTTCGCCACGGACGAACAGGTCGCGGCTGTCGTTGCCTAACTCTAGCAACTACTTTCTGTCTGGTCTGTATTGCTGTCAACTATGTCAGACGATACGACACGATTCGTTCCTCTACAGTTACGAATCTCAAAGTATCGTGGTCCGCGGCAAACGAAAAGTTCCTTCAGGTGATGATGCTTTCTCTGGCTTGTCTTCTGCATCCGTGGACAGCATATATCATATGTCCGTCACGCAGCTGCCTGCGAGAAAGTCACGGAAATCCCCACTGCCCTAACCCACTGCAGGGCCGAAGAAGGCAACATATCGTTCAGCCATGCTCTCTGGCAGGCCACAACCGCTGCTATCGTTGAGTGGAAAAGGGGCGCATTTGCTTCGGGTTGCTCGAAATTACTCGAACGCTTTGGCGTATCATTGGGACATGGGTGCTTGCTTTGGGAAGTAGTCACAGTAGTCGCTACAAGCATTGCATGCCACTGGCGCTGTGTAGACCCAGTGAACAATGACAAGAATTCAACTCCGGCGTCTTGGAAACACAACTACTCCTGCCTGGGGTGCCCACTCTGAGCACGCGAACACCCGTCATGGCGCACCAACTTCCCCAACAAAAAGCTCACTACGACAAAATGATACACAAAAGCACAAGACCGATCATGTCCTTGCAAAGCCACCTGGACCAAAGAAGTCCTGAGCGAAAGAAGTCCGAAGCCACCAGGGCTAGAGAAGCGGCACCTGGCCTCCCCCGACACGCATTGATGCATCCGCTCCTTAAGCAATGTGCTTTCGAGTTTCGGCGCTCACTCGCTGCTTCAAGTTTAGGGCTCAGGGTTTGGACGCAGCGTGGTCAAGCATTTCCATCCGGGTGTAAAGGCGACACGCGGAATCTTGAGTCGGCTGAATGCATCGCCGCGCTGAAAGTCTCGAAACACCGATAGCTTTATCCAGCATACAAACTCGTTCGGAGTAGCGGAGTGCCTGAAAGCCTCGCCCACCCTGCCTACAAGGGCCAACGGAGTAATTACTACACCGTTTTCAACAGCAGTACTTAGTTGCGGAGCAGCCCCAAAGCTCCCTTGCTTCAGGAGTTTATGGGAATAGGGTGGGGGACTGGGTGGAGTAGGTTGCTTCAGCATGTTCAAGCTAGTGGGTCGAACTACCCGCCCTGCGCAGTATAGCTTCTGCCATTCTAAGGCTCGAATCCTGGCCCTCGGATTTCCAGCTTCCCAACCAGTTCCGCCACATGCCGGGACGCCATTTGGGAAGGGCTGCAGCGACACACGCTATACATGCCTGGCATCCAAGGCCCATGAGTTGCATTCAGCTCAGCAGAGTTGTCCTCCGTGACCGCAGTGTAAGGACATGTCCGCCGACCCCAAGAATGCACACAAGTCATGTCGTCGTCTGGAACAACTGGATCGCAGCAATGATCCTTTCCTTATGCGCGGCGGTCTTGCTTCCAGGATTCTACGGCTTAGCAACGGCACACGTGTCATACGACTTAGCAGCCCAAGAGAAGCCCAAAAGTTAATTCGAAGCTTCCTCCTCCACATGCCCTGCTTGAGCACATGGTCGTGTTCGGTGGGCACAAGATGCGACTTCCTTGACCGTTGAGCTGGCATGCCCATTGCTTGTTGTAGCCGCCATCCTTGCGTTCTGGGTTCAGATTTCATGATTCAGGTTGTGAACTTATGGAACCCAACTCGAGATTGTGTTTGGCATGCTTTAAACCAAAACATCATCCTCGCAAAGAACAACATTGGCGATGCCGGTGTCGGTCGAAAGCCAGGGGCACAAGCCGTAGCCTGAGTGTGGCGGGCGGGGTGTTGGTGCTTCAGGGCTGCAGATATTAAAGATTCACCCAGGTGAGGACAGGGACGAACGAAGGCTTTGTCCAGATCTGGACGCACAACGGTATATATAGTCATAGAGTCACAGAGCAAACAAGTACTGCTTGCGGCGAAGAGCGAGACGAGGAGCAAAGCGGACACCCGTCAGTCACCTGGTCATTTTCTTCGAAAACCAGCAAGTCCTCTGCCGTCACGTCAGTGTTGCGCAAGTGGATGTGGCATGGCCGCTTCGTCACACATTCCCAATTCTGGACAGCGTCATCTGCTGCAAAAATCGTGGCACGCAGGCAGGAAGTGCAGAAAAACATTGCATGTATTGTTGGCATCCGAGGCATAGTTTGCCAAGGAGCTTCGCTCGAAAATGACGTAGGTCAGAGTCCCGACAAGCGACAATAATTACCGTGTAATGTTCAAGTGCACAAAGTGCGGAGGTGCTGCACCTTCGGAGACCTAATCTGATCAAAGCTTTGCGTCATGGCCATTCATGGACTTGCTCTTGAGACCCTCGACATAACGGACACAAAGACTGACTGCGAACTACCTGTATCCCGTGTTCCCCCGGCCGCCAGAACTTTGAACTGGCATCCCGGCCGTCGACTCCACAGCCTATCTCCAAAGCCATACTGCCAGGTCACACAGTATGGCTTGAACAAGTGTCAAGGCCTACATTCCTAGATGCTTTGTGCTAAATTTCCGTTCGCCTCATCTACAAAAAAGCACAAGTTTAAGGACCTGACCAAGAACTCAATACCCGCTTGCTTGTCTCTTCCTGTCGCGTCCTTATGAAATACTTGTCCTCGAACAAACACGAACATCGGGGCAAAACAGAAATGAAAACCCCTTACCGTGCGCCCTAGATCCTGAACCCTGAAGCCCGAAACCGTGAAACTGAAAAACCCCGAAGCTTGGCCCCATGCACCTGGACTCTTTACCCTCTCTCCCTCTCCCTCTCCCACCTTGCCCACAGCCACACACACACACACTCTTCGGATGAGGGTGTAGGGTTTGCGACGAGATGCATGAAGCTTGTGGGGCATCTTGCCGCAAAGGATATCTTGTTTCAAATCTTGGGTTTGCACACTGTGCCTGCAGCCGCATCCACTTAGGATAAGCATGGGGCTGGCGCGCTGTACAAACAACTGAGCGGAGGTCTACCTGAGGCATCTTGAGTCGCCGGATGATGTCTTACTGAAGTTTGGAACGTGCGCCGTCGGACGTGGTTGTAGGGTCTCTCCCTCTGTACCTGCAGCGTCTGGAGATGTCCCAACTCCAATTGAATGCTCGGGTTTGCACGCTGCACCCCTTCGGGGGAGGGTAAAGCTATGCGTAGGAGGTTCACCTGATGTATCTTGAGGCTGACCGCAGGCATGAATAAGTTCGTTTAGCGCGAGCAAGTTCACGTAATCAAACAACATAGAAATAGACATCAACTCATTCCACCACCAGCCGAACCGCTGAGCTACACACTACCATCAACATAGAAAGTCGAACCTCCAGCAACCGACAACTTGCACTACAGTGCCAGTAGAACAGCCGAAATATAGGAACTGCCGCCTTCTTCCGAGATCCCACACCCAGCATCCAAACTCCGCAAAACTATCCCTCCCGTAACATATCCTTCCACACCCCCAACCTACCCAATCCTAAGCCCGAACTCCTTTGTCGATGCAGGGCTCTGCAGCTATGCCTCCCCCTCCAACCCTGAGCTCATGTCAGCTGAAAGCAGTCACAGGTGGATTCGACCTTCTGGACCCCTTGATCTGACAACGCTCCAAAGCCTTAAGCTCAATAAGCTGAAACCCTTATTGAGCTCTAAACCGGAAGCGTAACATTGCAAACCTCACGCCCAGACGTACCTGAAACCTGGGCCATATACCAGCGTAAAGAAAGCCCTGGTTGCACAGGCACGGCTCTTTCTGAAGCTCAGTGCTCACTTCCTTCGCCTCGAAAGGATCATGCCACGAAGCGGCATCCCAACTTCTGCAACAAGGGTAACAAGTCGCCTGTGTCAGGGTTCATGACATGTCACCAATTCTCCGGACTTCAGGGCTCGAAATGCGTCTACCGTATTCGTGTCTGTTCAGAAGTCCAGATTCGCGAAGGTGACAGCCAAATTGGACGTTATGCGCGCGTCAAACAGGGACAAGCAGTGAACATCCGAAAACCATCCCTATGCCCAATGCCTGGTTGCCACAATATGGGCCTGCAGTTCAAGAGGACGCCCGCATTTATTCAAGGCACTTCCCAAAATCACACTTCCCAAAATCCGGTGACCACCTGTTCGACGTAATCAGCACAGCCCGGTGATGCGGTGTGCCTCGGCCTTGTAGGTTCGAAATCTCCTGACATCCGCCAATGAGCGTTCCATTCACGAACGCCTTGCACGCTCCATGAGTTCCATGCAAATTGGGCGATGTCAGCTTCACTCACGCAGAAGAAAATCGACAGAACTACATGGTTGCAGCTTTCTGGCAGCTCCAAACTGAATGTGTCGTGCAATGCTATTACATGCTTCTCCTACTTCAGTAGCAACCCGCGAAATTAAAGGCTGGCTGGCATGGTGCAAGAAGGTTGTGCGCGAGCGGACAACGTGATCCAAACTCTGTAAGAACCTGTCTCAGCAGAGTGAACATCAGCCGTCCTGATAGCTACATGACGAGAGTGACTGAAGGAGGTAGTGCAAGTGCCACTACAGCGAGTGAGCTTAGCTTTGAGACCCTCTTCAACTGCCAAGAACTCTAGCAGCTTGCAGCTCGAGTCGTTTTTTCCGTGAGCAGCAAAAAAGCACGCTGAAAGGAGTGTCTTGCGAGTTGACAGCATTGAAATGCGGCAAGTACAGTAGCAAGCGGTCTACAGCTCTGTGAGCGTTAGAAGATCAACAAGGCAGGAATCAGCATTCTCAAGGGAGTGGCCAAGCACAGCAAAGCGGTGACTGAGTGAGGCTACTGAAAAGCAACTTCAGGGGAGCAAGAGATAGAATGGGGACGGCAGGAGCGGGAGGGAGGGAGGGAGGAGGAAGGGATTGCGAGCAAAGCTGCCCGAAAATCCATACCCCTGCCTTACCTTTCGCTGCACTGTTGCTCAGACCGGAGACTCACTGTTTATCACGCTTGATCATGTGGACCCGGCCGATTGCCTGCGGAACAGTTGACGAGCCGTACCGCATGCGCAAGACCTGGCGCAGGCTCATGCTCTCCCCGATGGAGTTGCGTCCGGAAGTCCACTTGAGCTGAAAGGTCACTGGCTCGAAAATGGCTGAAGGCTACGGACGAGTAATCAAACTGTCAAGTACCAAACATCCACTTACCTGCGCTGCCTCGTTCAAGCTTGTGGGACGTGGTCTCTAAAGTCAGCAAAAGAATTCCCAGATGTTTTCGGGCCACGAGGGGGCTTCAACCCCCCAGGCCAATCAATGCGGCTGGAAAGCAATCTCGAAAAGTCACGCTGCTGACCCCGCATGTTTGAACCCTTCTCGGCAGGGCTAAAAACCTCAGACAATGTTATCACATGTTATCACCATGAAACAGTGCACCCACGAAGCTCAGAGATAGGAAGCTCCTGTGCTGGGCGCCTGCTGAATAGGCCCATGTCGGGGCTGGCCCATCTGGTCCTTGGAAACGACTGGGGGGCATAAACGAGGATCCGTCGAGCATCGGCAGTGAATCGCTACTAGCTTCGTGAAGGGAGAGAGTTCGATCAGTCCCCTCCGAATAACAATTGACAAACAAACCGTCTGAGGCACCCTGCCAGTTCAATGACATGCATAGCCGGCTTTGGACGAAGGTTGTTCAAGATCTCTTTAGCCTTGCGTGGTGACACTGGCTAGTGGGCTTTCAAAGGCCCGGCACATCCAGTGCAGTTACACATGACGAATACCCGGTGAGGTTAACTCATGTCCTCGCACATAGGTAGTGTGTGATGGCTATCTCTCGCAGGCACAAAGCAGTCGGCAGCTCTACAGCGGCGAGTCCGAAGAACAGGCATGTTGACTACCACCATCTCTCCCACATGCAAGGAAAGGTGTCCAAATGCACGACAAACCCGACAACCGCACAGATCGCAGCCCAAGCGATGTGGTCAGCCAAAAAGGCAATTCGCGTCCGTTGGCCTCGTTCGTGGCAGCCATTTCAAGTCTCGGACTTGCGGAGGTTGAGGTAAAGTACCAGGCTCCAGAATGGATGGCGATGCTGCCCTCACCAATAGGCGATAGCATGCCAGCATGCAAATGGCAGTGGGCTTTCCGGACGCGGCTGCCCACACGAGATTCCGAGGTGCCAGCTCTGACATGTCACCTGCCACAGACTCCACCAGCGCCTGTACTCGGCCTGGTTCCTAGGCTTGCAGCTGACTGGATACTCCGTGCTGAATAGGCCAAAAGATCGACGAACCTACGGCCAACACGAAGGATCTCATGGCAACACCACGGAAAAAAGCCGCAACACCTTCTGTCTGCAGTATGGAACTTGCAATGTGCATCATGGATCTGGAGGAGCTGTCCGCCTTGAGTCGCGTATTGACGACGTCCAGTGGACAGGTGAGAATGCCGCAGGCAATGCCTGAAGCGACTCCACAGAAAGCAGCTCCTGATGGACCTATGGCCTCACTTTTTGGAAGCCCATGCCAAGCTCTCCATTGTGAGACGAACATTTCATAAAAGCCAATTTTGACACCGGCGAAGGGGAGGTCCTTGATCAAGTTGACATGCCAACCCATGAAAAGCCCTCTCCAGCCTTGTCCCGACAAAATGTGTGAAATGGCTTTGCCAGCGTTGGCATCGATGCCCAAGACCAGCCGCTTCTTGAGGACATCAGCTGGAACCCCGACGAGTGTTGCTGGAATCGCACAGATGGCCGAGGCACAAGGAATGAGAAACTCACATTCGTGTTCTTTCAGCTTCACTTTCATCGGAGCAAAGCAGAAGAAGAAAGATCCAAACACAGGGACGGATCCTAAGGCGATGGTCGGCACCATGCCTCGGAAGAGAATTCTCCAGTTGCTTGCACCTGCAATCTCCCGAGCCTGCGCGCGAACTTTGGCCGAGTCGACGGCGTACAACACGGACTCTGCCAGCACTGCGGCACATGCGCCCCCCGCAGCCTCCGCCATGGCTGCCTGCAGCAGCCGCCCCATGGCAGGCCTTAGGGAGCCTCCGGCTGTCTCCGGCCCTCCGGCTACCTAAGAAGCGCGGCGCCTCAGTATTCGTAGATTCGTACAGTATGTCAGAAGTACATGTAGTGAGCCTGTGTCTGCAACTGATGGGCAAGCTTGAGCGGTGTCGGGCAGGGTCTAGCGACAGCTAGTATTCACTGGCAGTTCTGGCTGTCCGACTAAGCTGTGGCAACACTTTTTGTAGACTGCTGTCCGGGGCATGTTGCTGGCGCTTGGCGGTGTTGGGGCAACTTTCAATCACGGCCGTTCCTGCTTCACGAAGGGGCAGTAGGTCTTGCTGAACAGCACCAAGATGTCCTACGCAATGGCGACCCTCTGCAAGGACAACTGCTGGTGCAAGACACGAACAAATTGAGCTCTGCCAAACTGCTCTGTCCCATCAGCTGGATCCTTCTGCTGCAGTTGGTTCGTCACGAAAGCCTCAAGCAGAAAAGTCATGCATGCGCTGGAAGCCCAAAGAATCAATTGGGTTGTGAACGGCAAAAGCCGCAATATGCCGCAATGCTACAGTTCGTCCCGGACATCTCCTGAGGCACTGCTGTGAGCTTGGACTGACAGGTTCGGCCCTATACCAGTTTTGGCGCCGGGATGGGCATTCAGATCACTGTGCAACTGGCACACTCCGACTCCCAGGAACTAACCGTCCCAAGTGGCATGATCGCCAGGGCCGGCCGTGACGGTCTCAGCCTCAGAGATATGGCATTGTATCGAGGGAGAGACAAATAGCTTTAGCACAATGCCTGCGTGGACCAATGCAAGAATTTCCCGTTGAGATTGTTGCGTAGGCACCCAGGTCTTTCGTCAATTTTGGTTACCGCCTTTACGGTTTGGACGCGATAACCGATACCAATCTCAGATACGACGTGATACAACTTTCGTATACTGCATTTCGGCAGCCAGCCTGCTGATTCGTTCGATTTGAGCATGATTTCGATACAACCACTGCGATGTCTTTACGGTCTTGATATGTTTCTGGGCATGAACCCGGAGACGATTTCGAGTACGACTTAAATACGTGCGAGTTTGAATGCGATTTGGAAATTGTTTAAGAATCCCAAACCAGGATCTTCAGTCTAACCTTTGATCGACATTCAGTACGAATTTGGCCCGACACTCCCGCTCTGCCCGAGCACCCCAAAGACCCCATGTTGGGGCCCTGTGGTTTCTCAGAACCAGGCCCGGACACTGCCCGGACTTTGGGGTCTACCGTCGTTTTCTTTCTCTTTGGACAGTGTGCACACGCCGTGTCCTGGGTCGTATCGTTTCGTGTATCTGTTATCAAGATCGTATCGTAATATGCGGCTGCAAATTCTTAAGAAAGCCGGGAACAAGCAGCCACCCCAGGCTAGTTGCATGTCTGTATGCAGCCTAAGTACAGCATAGAGCTTACGCTTGATCTGCTTGCATCTGCTTGACAGCGATTCCCTTCGGGCATCGGTCATAACACGCGAACCAGCAAAGCACCGGGATATCACAACACAAGTTAAGCTTATTTCAGTCACTTCGTCGGTGGCCTAGTTCTGGGTCCCCTACGGCCTGCTGGGCCTCTGCTGCCGCAGAGATCGTGATGACCTTCGCCTCCCGTGCACTGCATGCGGTGCTTCAAGGGTCAAGTTTTCCGAGAAGGCGTTCTGCCGAACAGCAGGTGGCTGTTACCATCGAGCAGTCGGGGCCGACCAAGAACATCCAATTCTGAATTCACCAAGCGGCGGCAGGCGGAGCGGAAACTGCAACGCTCGGAGCTTGCACCTCCACCGTGCGAAAACAGTCTGCTGCCTTACAGTTCACTCTTATGTTGTGGTCTCCTCAGTTAGTTAGCAAACGTCTTCAATCTCTGAAGCGTGAAAAGTGACCCGTAAACTGTCAAACCTGAGTGTGATACAAAGCTCGAGAACATGGTCAGGCGCCAAATCGTGAAACCGAGGCTGGTATGCCTAAACCACAGCATTCCAAATGCAGAATCGCCAGAGCTCCATCTGCCGAGAAGCTGGGCCAGGAGCGGGAGCGTAGACGGCATAGCCACAGCTTTGCATGCTGTGCGACCCTTGAACCGGCACCGCAGCCTGGGGATGCAAAGCCGAAGTTTCGACTTTATCCCTTGCCCAAGACGATGTATGGGCTTAAACTGCACGGAGCCGACTCCAAAGCTGGCTCAGTTTGGCACCATAGCAGGACTCCCAGCGCTTGTGCGAATCCTAGGTCGGGATGGTGTGAGGCGATCTTGCAAGCCACTTGGCGCAACCAAGCACAAAGGAAACCCTACAACACCAGCTTCAGGAAAAATCTAGCCTTAGCGTTACTTTTTACTGGAACTTCGGGCTGAGGCTTCTGGCATTGGCCTACGCTCCAATTCAACAAGAGGCGGCATTGGCCGGGTCGTCGCTGCCCCAGCAACCAGCGACACAGCATGCTGCGTGGTATACCTGATCCGGACAAGCCTGTGATGTCGTGTCCGACAGGATTCCAGGTGGACATGCGCTTTCATGCGTATGTAACTGGTGAGTGGTCGAATGTCTTCTTCACTCAGGCCAATGAACCAAAAGGGTCGCGAACAAGAAGGGTAAGCCCTCGCACTCGCAGTCTGGCTGCGCCACAGTCGGCGGATGCAATCCAGTGGCTGGTATCATCGCGCGGAGGAAAACCAGAAGTATCAAGATTGCAAACAACTCTTCAACTTCCCTGCCAGCTTTGTATGGCTCCGGGCCGAACCGCAATCACCCAGCCATCCACGTGGACAGACCCAGTTCGTGGACATGCAATACGAGTCGTGGCAACTACTTAGCAACTTAAAGCCCAAAGTGTGCTTGTGGCTGCACGAGGTTCTTATGGAAGGTGCCAAGTGGTGGCATGTCGATATCCGACAACACATCAGCCTGGGAGCCGGCGAAACGCGCGATTATATGGAGATTAGAGGTGCGAATGCTTCGCTTTGGGGTGGGGCCAACTCATACAGTGGCTTTGAGTGCGCATCGGAGGTAATGCTTGACTGCATGGGGTGGATCAGCAGTTGAGGACGTTGCGCCACGATCTCCTATTCATGCCTTCTGCTTGCACGGCTCTCGACGAGTTGCCGGGCTTATCCCGACTTGCAAAGCAATATGCAGTGTGCAAGATGTCATGGTTGCATCGCTTCCACTGCTTTTTCGTGCTGCTGCGGCGGAGCAGAATGACCTGGGGCCGGACGTGCCACCAGATGCAACACAGCAGCTGCTTGTGTATCGTGGAAAGCTCCTGCATTACAAACATCTTCCAGGCATTGTCATGGCGCCCTTATGGAAAAAAGCCTGCAAGCACAAGACTATATCAGTAAAGTTTCGACCACCCGTGCAGTTCTCAACCAAATTGTGTTGCGACCGGTTGTGCAGCAAGCCACGACACCCGATAATGGGCAAGCTCAGCCCTAGCATCTGCAGCAGATGAGGCTAGGGCTTCTGAAGGCTGCCACTGCTTGAAGCAGCTCCTCCAGAAAGCGAAGGTTTTGGCAGATCTGCGAGGTATTTTTTAATCCGGAGAGTGCAGCAACTAGACAATCCTGTCCCAAGAACCTGCAAGACTTCTGAATCAGGCCGGTCCCAATGGACTGGACAAATTGAGCGAGGGTGCCATTGGTGTCAAACACATGCGTCTCTTGCGCCAGCCGGCTTTGAAAAGCATCCCCGGCCCATTGACAAATTCTAAACGCAAGCCTAGCCATGAGTGACGTCATGACGGCAGCCGCTACCAGTGGAATGCGCCGCTTTGGGGTTCATCTTCTCGCTTTGTCAAAGCTCAACAGGAAAGCTGTCGATCTGTAGCTGTGATCCAAGCTAAGTTTTTCATGGAGGGTGTGTTCAAGTACTTGGTGTAAGGACAACGACGACATGGATACGTTTATCGGTTGCTCGAACGGTTACTATGGTTGTCAGCAGCGAGAAGAGTCATCGGCCTGCCGAAGCATCTCGCGTAAAGCAGCCTGCTCAAAGGGCAGGGCGTGACTCCGAACTAGGTTTTATGCGACTCCGAGCCAGGGTTTGTGCGCACATCCGGAGGACTAAATTAAATACTGGCGACTTGAATCTAATGCTCAACCCAGGGGTCGCAAATTCAAGTCCTTGCGCCGAAGTCGGGTTTGAAAGGGTATCGTGCGCCGGACGCAGGCATCACATCGCTTGCTGACAGCCGTGCCCCGGCTCCACTGCATAAGTACATAGTTGATGCCTGCAGGTATTTGTTGCGTCCCCAAATGATCCCCCGATCCCGTGCTTTGGCAACACAACGGCCTCCGAAGGCAGCTGCGGGTAAGGCTCCTTCACCTGCAAGCTGTCAGCGGAGATTTGCCATGCAATTCAAAGCGGTCTTGTGTTACATGCACGCAAGCATGCGTACCACACCCTACGGGTCCAAGAGGAAGACTTAGCTCCAGCATTTGGGCGACCCAGAATCCAATCATGCAGTCGGAACAGTCTGTGCAGCCTTGAGCTAAGCAGTGCAAATCGTGATCAGAGCCTTTCCTACATGGCCGTGGTTCAAACTGCGGCTTCTGGTCTGCGGCCGTCACTGTTCGAAGATTTCCGAAATGCGTTCTGCGGATCTGCTTTGTGTTCGCGAACCCGGGCCCAAATGTTGGGGCTTATGTCTGAAACCAGTTCCCACCATGTCACAAGCTGGCTTCTGACGGGCTTTTCCAGGCTTCTGGCCCCGAGGCGATGGATCTCCCGCCGCAGCTCCATGAGCTCCAGTATTACTAGCCTCACAACCAGCTGAACTGTTAACTCCTATTGATTGCGGTAAATGCACGTTCGATATGGACACCCAGGTTTCATGGATTTAAGTTGGGCAAACAAGGTCGCAACAACCTCAATCCTGAGCTTGTTTGTCTGAGCCTTACGACATCTTGAACTCTCAGCCCGCGTAAACTGTGTAAACCTTGTAAGGCTTTGCACCCATCCGAGGTGGGATGATCTTGTAGGGTGGGAATTTAGGAAGCGCTGCAGTGCCGAATCGCAATGTGTCGCCACGTTCGCGTGCCAAGACAAGTGCAAGGCTCAAAAGAACAAGTCTCGACGAAAACGAGCACGTTGGCCCCAGGCACATGGATGCAGAAATATGTTTGCTTCTTCTGTTTCGAGCGGGTATGTTTGTCAACCCAAAAAGCAGAAGTCGACCCGCCCCCCTGGCACACAAGTCAGCGCACGAGTGCAGAAGTCATCCCAGAGGCCGTTCCCCCAAGGCAAAGCTATTCAAGAGCTTCCAAAACGATTTGCAAAGGCACACCAAAGACCTTCACAGAAGCCAAAATCATCTTCAACCGATGGTTCCAGAGGCCGTTCCCTCAAAGCATGGTGGTGTTCAAGAGCCCCGTTTCCAAAACGATTTCGGATCTCACACCACCGTACCTTCGAGATTATCTCTTGCAAGGACCCTTAACACAAGT